GCTGCTGAGGGTGCTGAGCCTGGGGGTGCTGACTCTGGGGGTGCTGAGCGTGTGGGTGCTACGCCTGGGGGTGCTGAGCCTGAGGGTGCTACTACTGGGGGTCCTGAGCCTGGGGGTGCTGAGCCTGGGGGTGCTACTACTGGGGGTGCTGAGCCTGGGGGTGCTGAGCCTGGGGGTGCTACGCCTGGGGGTGCTGAGCCTGGGGGTGCCACGCCTGGAGGTGCTGAGCTTGGGGGTGCGGAGCCTGAGGGAACTGGGCCTACTCGTGTGGCGTCTGGCGGTGCTGAGCCTGGAGGTTCTCCGGGTGCTTCGTCTCGGCGGGAGCCACTCTCTCCACAGGAGCTGCGCGAGTGGTTTGCCCGGCGCTGGAGGCGTGCTGCTGGAGCTGGAGGTTCTTCGGCTGCTGAGGGTGCTGGTGCCGCGGGTCCCGGAGATGCTCATACTGGGAGTACTGGAGCTGCTGGGCCTGCGGGTACGACTGGAGCTGGAGCTGCTGAGGGTGTTGGCGCTGAGGCTACTGCTGTCGGTCCTGGAGGCGGTCCTGCTGGGGGTGCTACTGGTGCTGCTGGAGGTACTGGAGCTGGAGGTGCTGCTGGCGCTGGTGCTGCCGCTGGGGGTACTGGTGCTGTCCCTGCTGTGTCTGGAGTCGCCGCGCGGCCTAGGCCGTACTTCGTTCCGCTCCTTCAGCAGGTTCTTGGTCTCCCGCCTTCTACTGGTCCTCCTCCTCCCTTCGAGTGTCCACAGCCTGTCCCGTCACAGTTACAGTTACAGCCGGCCTCCCCACTGCCCGCTCCTTCTCCCTACACTGGTCCTACTGGAGGTCTTGCTGAGCGTCGTGAGCCTGCGTCTCGCCCTGCGTCGCCTGTCCGTGCTGCTCGCACTAGTGGTCGTGGTTCGCGTCAGCGTCCTCCTCCTGTCCCTGGCACGCACCGGATGTCTCTGCGTCCGTCCACTGCTCCTCTGCGTGCCCCTTTGCCTTCTCCTCCTGAGTCCTCTCTTACTGCTCTTCCTGACCCGGAGTCGGACTCTCTTCGTGCTGCCAGTCCTACTGTCACGCGTCTCCTTGCTACTGTTGTCACTGACCCTTCCTTTGAGTCCACTGCTGCGTCTGCCCTAGTTACTGAGCTCGTCGACTTTGCTGCTCGCTGTCGTCTAGACTACGCTGCTAGTCTTGTTGCTGAGTCTGAGTCTGTCTGTCCTCCGTCCGTCGGGGGTGAGTGTGCCCTTGGCACGGACGTCCTTGAGGACAGGCAGGAGGAGTTCCAGTGTTTGGCTGCTGCTTCACCTCATCTCGTGTCCGTACTGCTTACCCCTGAGGGAGACCCGGATGCACTTGACATCCCGACTCCGCGCTCTTACGCGGAGGCGATAGAGGGTCCCTACTCCTCTCAGTGGCAGGCAGCTATGGACGCAGAGATGGCTTCCTGGAAGTCCACAGGCACCTACGTTGACGAGGTTCCCCCGCCTGGGGCGAACATCGTCAGTGGCATGTGGATTTTCAGGGTGAAGCGGCCGCCGGGTTCTCCGCCTGTCTTCAAGGCGCGTTACGTGGCTCGTGGCTTCAGTCAGCGGCAGGGAGTTGACTACTTTTAGACCTTCTCTCCCACCCCGAAGATGACCACTCTTCGGGTACTGCTGCACATAGCTGCTCACCGCGACTACGAGCTGCACTCTCTTGACTTCAGCACTGCTTTCTTGCAGGGCAGCCTGCACGAGGAGATCTGGCTGCGTCGCCCACCTGGCTTCACTGGGTCTTTTCCTCCTGGCACCCAGTGGAGCCTCCGGCGGCCAGTCTACGGTCTCCGCCAGGCACCGCGTGAGTGGCACGACACACTGAGGACTACACTTGCGGCTCTTGGGTTTGCTCCCTCTACTGCCGACCCGTCGCTGTTTCTGCGCACCGACACTTCTTTGCCGCCGTTCTACATCCTCGTGTACGTCGACGACTTGGTCTTCGCCACAGCTGACACTGCTGGACTCGCCCACGTGAAGTCCGAGCTGCAGAAGAGACACACGTGCACAGACCTGGGTGAACTGCGCAGCTACCTTGGCTTGCAGATCACCCGGGACAGAGCACGCCGCACCATTACCCTGACTCAGTCACACATGGTGCAGCAGGTCCTTCAGCGCTTCGGCTTCACGTACTCCTCGCCTCAGGCCACTCCTCTGCCTACTCGCCACTCGCTCTCAGCTCTGCCTTCGGATGAGTCCGTAGAGTCGAGTGGCCCGTACCCAGAGCTTGTTGGCTGCCTCATGTACCTGATGACCTGCACACGACCTGACCTTGCATACCCTCTTAGCATTCTTGCACGCTATGTTGCTCCTGGGAGACACAGACCGGAGCACATGGCTGCAGCGAAGAGGGTGTTGCGCTACTTGTGCAGTACGTCGGGCATGGGGCTTGTGCTTGGAGGGCAGAGTCCAGTGGTCCTCACTGGGCACGCAGACGCTTCTTGGGCTGACGACCAGGCTACGCAGCGGTCGTCACAGGGTTACACCTTCAGCCTTGGTTCCGGCTCTGTTTCGTGACGGGCTACCCGCTCGTCTTCTGTTCTCGGCTCCAGTTGTGAGGCTGAGATCTACGCCGGGGCCATGGCTCACAGGAGCTTCGCTGGCTCACCTACCTGCTGACTGACCTCGGAGAGCCGCCTCGTTCTCCTCCAGTGCTGTACGTAGACAACAAGGCCATGCTGGCCTTGTGTCGAGAGCAGAGACTGGAGCACAGAACGAAGCACATTGCTCTCCGCTACTTCCTTGCTCGTGAGCTACAGCAGCGTGGTCAGCTACGGCTTGCGTACGTGGCCTCTGAGGCCAACACTGCTGATATCTTCACCAAGGCACTTGCGCCTTGTGATCATCAGCGCTTCTGTACTCAGCTGGGTCTTGTGCCTACCTTGCCTCACTTGCTCACCCCTTGACCTTGTTTGTACTGTTGCATATATATATACACCTGCTCTTGCTTGTCTAGCCTTATATACATATGTAATCCTGCATGTGAACTGGCCTTGTGGCCTTGAACTTGTGCTCGGAATGTGTGGTGACTTTGTGATCCACCCTGAGCTTGCTTTGCTTTGCTTGACTGGTCTTGTGACCCCTTGTTCTCCCCCACTTTGCCTATGGGGGTGTGTCAGATTTATATGACATAGCTACTGTAGGCTATAGTGGGGTAGCACATATGGGGTACAGTTTTCTAGGGTTTGCTTTTGTACCCAACTTTCCCTTAGTCAATTCATTTCCTCATTTCTTCACACTGTATACTCTATCCGCTGTATGACGAAATATAACTTGTGCGTTCCTAGTTATGGATTGTTTAACATTTTGATAAACATTTAGGCAGATTCAATTAATTGTGAACTCTAGCAATATGTATATGCGTTCGAATTATTTCATAAAAATTGTTAAACTAAATTTTGTTACGACGATTCAAACGTAACCAGGTATCTTTGCACCCAAAATGGTCGCGTATACAGGACAAAATCCAGGACCCCGAAATAAAGTACCCAAATCTGTACAGTGTTTCAGGGTGGGTCAACGAAATGATGACAGGGTTCATCTGTGATAGCAAAGTTTCGAGTGTGACTACCCGTGATAGAAATTACTGGCTTTAAGTGACGGCGGGTGATACCCGTGTGATGGTTCGTGATAGATTTGGCGGATTTTGTGACTGTCCGTGATAGCTTTCGCGGAACATGTGACTGCTCGTGATAACTCCTAAATGTTTTGTGACGGCCCGTATAAAAACCCTGATGAGAATACGTACTGGCGGGGATGCTCCTGTTGGGGTGCGGGGGTCAGAGGGAGATTTGCTCTGTGACTTCCGACCGATCCGACAGGGGGGTCAGGGGGGAGTCAGGCTGACCGACGGCGCATCTGCGACTTGAGCGGAGGCCCCCACTGATTCAGGGAGAAGCCCACTTCCCCGTTGATGGGGCGGGATGGTCAGAAAAAAATATGGCGGCTGACGAACTTTGAGAGAGGCCAGAAGCTGCCGCAATCCTTCCAAGCCATCATGAAATCCTGAACGTACGGTATGGTGCCAGAAACGCTGCTGTGAAGCACAGATTGTGCCACGTGGCCAGTAACGTCAAAGGCATTTACGCGCCAAAATTTCCTTGCCTCGTGTAAATCGAACATATGGTGTCTCATTGGTGGGTTCTGCGGTGGGCAACTGTACCAGACACGCAAATGAGAGAAATTTCACGTTCGTGCAATCCACCACACCTCCAGCCATCTGGGAAGTAGTGTAGCAAAACTCCGCTATTGTTGTGTAAATTGGTAAAATGTATACACATATAGGGTTATAGTATCATCTTTATCAGGAAAATCCACTACTTTTCGTACCTAAAGTCCGCTAATATACTTTTATAGAAGAAAGAATACATTAAACAAGATTTATCCTAATTTAAGATAGTCTAACTGTACAACTTAATATTGTCAAGAAGTTAACCTGATGTTTTAGCAGATCAATTAGTCATGGAAGTACAGTTCCATTCATAGCATGTAAAATGCCTCATTCCTAAAGTCTCGAGTACATGGAACATATGAAATGCTGAAGTTTCCCGATGCTTCGTCAACGACGAGCTGCGAGAAAGATTCGTCCGTCCACTACGAATCAGCATGCGGGAAATCGCTCTCGAATGCGTCGCGTCGCTTCTAGAATCTCCATGTGGCCTCGCCATGTCAGTCGCCACGTCGTTGGCGAAGGCCCAGAAAGATCGCTGACTCGGCAATCTCGAGAAAGATCACTACCCTTTCTAGCCCAGTCCCGCCCTTTGTCTTCACCCAGGTCCAGCTTGAACTTGCATTCACAATTTGGCTCAACAAAAGCCATTCAGATATAAAAATCAGCAAGAATCTTGATCTACAACTGATTTGGCCTGAAACATTAGCTATTCTCGCTGATCGTCTATCAGTCTTTCCGTTGGCATCTGCGATCGGCTGTCAACAGCTATCTATCTGGCCGTTCTCAGCTTCCGATTTAAGCTGCTGTAGTAATCTCAATGGAGGAGGAGATGGACTTCAACGCCAGCGGCGACATGCCTACGGACATCCCGATGGGAGGGGATGAGGAGGACGAAGCTGCGTACGCTCCGCAGACGGAAGGAGAGGAGAAGGATCTGACGAGCGATGGCGGAGTGAAGAAGCTGCTTGTGAAGGCCGGCGACGGCTGGGACAAGCCCGAGGCTGGAGATGAGGTGTCAGGTAGGAGTGGAGATTCGATCTGCCTTTCAATAGGATGGGAACGAAGATCCGGTCGGAGGATTTTACTTGCCGCTCGATCTGGATTGTTTTGTGCTGGAAGTCCGCTTAGTTGTTGCTACGCCGGATTTTCAAGTTTTTTTGTCCTCATTGAATTGCCTAACCTTGTTTTGCTTTCAAACTTCCCGTGAACAAGCCGAGTCTCACGATTCATCGATACTTTTTGTCATGTCTCGTCTCTTCCCCAGTCCACTACACCGGAACCCTTCTGGACGGAACCAAGTTCGATTCGAGCGTGGACAGAGGAGAGCCGTTCAATTTCAAGCTGGGACAAGGTAAGCCATGATTTCAAAGCCATGCCCAAGTCCAGCTTAGTTCAGTTTCCTCCCTGTTTCCTCGTACTTGCTCTCGCCTGTGGCCGTTTCCGTACTTGCCGACACGACGTTTCTGGCCGGGCATTTCCGATGGCTCAACTCTCACCTTCCGCGTTTCTCGTTATTGTCGCGTGCAGGCCAGGTCATTAAGGGATGGGATAAGGGTATCGCATCCATGAAGAAAGGCGAAAAATCCGTGTTTACAATCAAACCCGAATACGCTTATGGCGAGGCTGGCTCTCCGCCGACCATCCCTGCGAACGCGACGCTGAAATTCGAGGTGGAGCTGCTGTCGTGGATCAGCGTGAAGGACATCTGCGGCGATGGCGGCGTGTTCAAGAAGATTCTCGTGGAGGGCAAGAAGTGGGAGACTCCCAAAGACATGGACAAGGTCACAGGTACGCCTCACTGCGCGGAAGCTCCCAATATTAGGATCAATCCCAGAAGGCAAGAGGTATTTTATTAGAATCAAGCCCGAGTATGCTTCTAGCGAGGCTGAGGGTGAGGCTGGCTCTCCGCCGACCATCCCGCCGAACGCGACGCTCAAGTTCGAGGTGGAGCTGCTGTCGTGGATCAGCGTGAAGGACATCTGCGGCGATGGCGGCGTATTCAAGAAGATTCTCGTGGAGGGCAAGAAGTGGGAGACTCCCAAAGACATGGACAAGGTCACAGGTACGCCTCACTGCGCGGAAGCTCCCAATATTAGAATCAATCCCAGAAGGCAAGAGGTATTTTATTAGAATCAAGCCCGAGTATGCTTATAGCGAGGCTGAGGGTGAGGCTGGCTCTCCGCCGACCATCCCGCCGAACGCGACGCTCAAGTTCGAGGTGGAGCTGCTGTCGTGGATCAGCGTGAAGGACATCTGCGGCGATGGCGGCGTGTTCAAGAAGATCCTTCTGGAGGGAAAGAAGTGGGAGACGCCTAAGGACATGGACAAGGTCACAGGTACGTCTCATTACGCGAAAGCTCACAGGTATCGCGTCCGTGGAGAGACGCGAGAGGTTTGATTCTATTCTCAGGCCCGAGTAGGCTTATAGCGAGGTTGAGACTGAAGGTTATACCCCTACGTCCCAATCCACTTTTTCCCTTGTGTGTGCAGTGAAGTACGAGGTGCGGTTACACGATGGCATGTTGGTAACCAAGACGGGCGACGACGGCGAGCAGTTCTACCTCAAGGACGGCCACTTCTGCGCGGCTCTCCCGCGTGCAATCAAGACGATGCACCAGGGGGAGAAGGTCCTGCTCACTGTGAAGCCACAGTGTGAGTGTTCTATTCTATCTGTCGTTCTGCTCCTTGTAAAGCCATTTCGTGCGGCGCTCCAGTGGATTATCAAGGCGATGCACCAGGGCGGGAATGTCCTCCTCACGTGCTGCTTTCGCCCCTGATGCTCTCTGTATCCTGACCATCAAATTCATCGACACGTGTTTTGCATGCTCTTCTCTGGACATCAACAGACGGTTTTGGAGAAGCCGGCCGTCCAGAGACTGACGGCCAGCCGGCAATCCCGCCAAACGAGACGCTGAGCATTGACCTGGAGTTGGTGGCGTGGAGAAAGGTGGAGAAGGTTACAGAGGACGGGAAGGTCATGAAGGAGGAGATTGAAGCCGGGGAGGGGTACGAGCGACCCAATGACGAGTCGGTTGTGAAAGGTGAGAATGGGTTGGACTGGGTTGGGCTGGGTGTGGCTGGGCTGGGCTGAGCATTGACTTGGAGCTGGTGGCGCGGCGGAAGGTGGAGAAGGTGACAGAGGACGGGAAGGTGATGAAGGAGGAGATTGAGGCTGGGGAGGGGTACGAGCGACCCAATGACGAGTCGGTTGTGAAAGGTGAGAATGGGTTGGACTGGGTTGGGCTGGGTGTGGCTGGGCTGGGCTGAGCATTGACTTGGAGCTGGTGGCGCGGGGGAAGGTGGAGAAGGTGACAGAGGACGGGAAGGTGATGAAGGAGGAGATTGAGGCTGGGGAGGGGTACGAACGGCCTAACGACGAGTCTGTTGTGAAAGGTACGTGTTGTGCTGGTGGTACTTGCAGTCGGCCTCGGCTGGGCTGGGCTGGGCTGGGCTGGGCTGGGTTGCGGTCGGTTGGGCTGGTTAGGGCAGGGCTGAGCATTGACCTGGAGCTGGTAGGGTGGAGGAAGGTGGAGAAGGTGACAGAGGACGGGAAAGTTATGAAGGAGGTTATTGAGGCGGGGGAGGGGTATGAGCGACCCAACGACGAGTCTGTTGTCAAAGGTGCGTGCTCTGGCAAAGTTGTGGTAGGAGTTGCTCTGGTAGAACTCGCTCTGGTAGGGGAGGGGTACGGTACGAGCGACCTAACGATGAGTCCATTGTCAAAGGTGCGTGCTCTAGCAAAGTTGTGGTAGGAGTTGCTCTGGTAGAACTCGCTCTGGTAGAACTCGCTCTGGTAGGGGAGGGGTACGGCACAAGCGACCTAACGATGAGTCCATTGAGAATCCACCCATCCTGCTTGTGTTTTGTGCTGCTGAATTGTCGAGGTAAATGGTAATTGCAGGTGTGGGAATTCTGGCTGGGTTGGCTTTGGCTGGGCTGAGCTGAGTATTGACCCTAATATGCTTGACTGTAAGCTTGTTTATTTGTGCTGTGTAGTCTTGGCATGCAGTGCAGTACTTGGTTCGTTTCCCTTGCATTCGAATCCACCTCTCGTTTTCCTTCCCCTCTCATTTCTCCTCATACCCACACACAGTGCGCTACACTCTGCGCCTAGAGGATGGGACAGTGGTGGAGGAGAAGGGCATGGGCGATGGGGAGGAGCCGTTTGAGTTCACCACGGATGAAGGTGAGTGGGTCTTCAGGACGGTTGGATAAAAAGGAAGCGGGGGGGAGGGGAGGAGGACGGGGGGTTCTGCAACGATATGGAAAGTGGGGCAGGCTGTGTGCAAAGAAATGTGGAAATGGGGAAAGGGGTGACTTGCCACTGGGGCGTTGGGGAGGAACAGTGGAGTAGGCTGAGAAAGTCATAAGAGCAAGTCCAACTGAGAAACAGCTTTGCCCAACTTAGGCCTGTGGTTCTGTCGAATCCGTCCCCATCTGTCCCTTTGTCCCCTTCCCGTTCTGCTTCCCTTCAGAGCAAGTCGTGCCTGGGCTGGACAAGGCAGTGATGAAAATGAAGAAGGGAGAACTCGCAACCGTCACCATTGCCCCAGAATACGCCTACGGCTCTGAGGAAAAGACCCTGGAAAAAGGCACAGTCCCGGCCAACTCTACCTTGGTCTATGAGCTTCGGCTGGTGGAGTTTGTCAAGGATAAGGAGTCCTGGGAGCTTGGGGATGAGGAGAAGGTCGCGCATGCAGCGAAGAAAAAGGAGGAGGGTAATGTTCTCTTCAAGTCCGGAAAATACGTCCGGGCAGCAAAAAAATACTCCAAGGCGATGAAGCTGATCGAGTACGACACGCAGTTCAAAGACGAGGAGAAGAAGGCGTGCAAGGTGCTGAAAGTCTCCTGCGGGTTGAATGAGGCAGCTTGCCAGCTGAAGCTGAAGGATTTCCCGGCGGCAGTGAAGCTGACGAGTAAGGTGCTGGAGCTGGAGGGGTCGAACGTGAAGGCGCTCTATCGGAGGGCCCAGGCGTATATGGGGACTGAGGACTATGACCTGGCGGAGTGGGACGTCAAGAAGGCTCTTGATCTCGACCCTGAGAACAGGTGAGCACGGGGAGTGACCGTGGGGTAATGGGTCGACTGGATAGGCATGTCTGTATAATTAGGGGGGAGCCCAGGCGTATATGGGCACGGAGGATTGCGACCTGGCGGAGTGGGATAGAAGGCTCTTGACCTCGACCCTGAGAACAGGTGAGCACGTTGGTGAGAATAGGGACTTTGACAGCAACTGCGCTGTATCGGCGCGCCCAGGCGTATATGGGGACGGAGGATTATGACCTGGCGGAGTGGGACGTGAAAAAGGCTCTTGATCTCGACCCTGAGAACAGGTGAGTGCAGGGGGGTGACCGCAGGTGTGAGCGTGTGGTTATGGATCGACAGCACAAGATTTCAGAGCAGAACCAGAGGGAAGTCAACTTCAAAATTAACTCACAAGTTGTCCCCCTCCCGTTTTTTCCCCCTTGATTCCCCTACCAGGGACCTGAAGCTAGAGTATCGGCAGCTGAAGCGCAAGATTGCAGAGCAGAACCAGAAGGAGAAGAAGATTTATGGCAACCTGTTTGCACGGCTGCATAAACTTGAGGAGAAGGAGGGTGTGAAGCAGGCAGAGGAGGCTGCTCCTGCTGCTCCTGCTGATGGCGCTGCTGCTGCAGGTGGTGATGCTACTGAGGCGATGAAGGAAGACGTGCAGAAGGTTGATGAGGGTGTGAAGGAGGGTGGGGAGGCGATGGCTGCATAGGTTGTTTGCTGTAGGCCTACGTTGTGAAAATTACCTGGTATATTCATCCTATCGAATGAACAGTTTCAAATGGAAGTTTATTTGTGAAATGGGATCAGATAAGATATGTGTGTGGACAATTTGTGGATATTGGAAGTCTGACCACAACACCAGAAGTGTGAGGGAGGGGGCGAAATGTAATGATTGCTTGAGACTAATTTAAGCTGGACTTTCAGACAGTTTCAACTGCATAACAGGGTAAGTGCTCCGTGCTCAGCTACTTATCGAGGAAGAACATATCGAGAATAACAGATTCGCCTTGAAGGCAACCTTGACTTGGAATGAATGTTCGGTTGCGAGTTAGGACGGCATTCGGGACTACCGATCTGTGGTGCTTTCAAACCGTTGTTGAACGCGTCAGAACGTTCTGGAACATATTGTACCGTGCTTAACCTGTATTGACCTGTATTTTCGGCCGGCAATGTAGTGCCTAAAATCATGAGTCCACGCCACGTTATGCTAAGTCAAACTGCGTGCACGAAAGTACTGACATTTCGAATGAGGTAGAAACTGTACCACTGAAAACGGATGTACGGAACGCATCACTTTAAAATGCTCTCAATCGTGCGTAGACGTTTTGTACCGAACCAAAACCTTATCATGAGGTGGAACGGAGCATTACACGATGGAATGGAAACAGCGGGGATTCACAGCTGGTAAATCGTTCATTCTCAGAGAATCTTCTCTATTTCTGCTAGCAGGAAGTTTTTTGCCATCTCTCCTTATTACTTCTTATAGTAACAGTACCCTCATTCTTGGAACACGTGCTGCTGTCATAGGCTGTCTCTGCGCACAATTGTGTCAGGCTAATCCGTGTTTCGTTACTTGACGGAACGAGACCATGCTCGCTCGACGGGCTTCCTCAGCTGTGCGGATTCTGCTGCTGGTCTGCGTTCCGTTTCTGCACGTGAGTTTCCTCGGAACTTTGGAGCCGACTTAGGAACCATGCTCAGCATAGATTATATTTTCTAAAAGAAATAATGGTGTTATTGTTGATTAGAACATGGTTAATGTGAACCAAGTTCTCCTACTCTTCTCCTCTTCATTCCTCCCCCGCTATTGTCACATCAGGCCAGAAATGCGGCCGCAGACGAGCGCGGTCACAACCGCGATGTGCTTGTGAGTGAATGAATGGTGTGATGATGTGAGTGCAGCTTGGTCTGAAAATTTGTTGGTGTGAATGCAACATGATGCGATGATGTGAGTGCAGCATGGTGTGATGATGTGAGTCTAGCATGATGGGATGATGTGAGTCTAGCATGATGGGATGATGTGAGTCTAGCATGATGGGATGATGTGAGTCTAGCATGATGGGATGATGTGAGTCTAGCATGATGGGATGATGTGAGTCTAGCATGATGGGATGATGTGAGTCTAGCATGATGGGATGATGTGAGTCTAGCATGATGGGATGATGTGAGTCTAGCATGATGGGATGATGTGAGTCTAGCATGATGGGATGATGTGAGTCTAGCATGATGGGATGATGTGAGTCTAGCATGATGGGATGATGTGAGTCTAGCATGATGGGATGATGTGAGTCTAGCATGATGGGATGATGTGAGTCTAGTATGATGGGATGATGTGAGTCTAGCATGATGGGATGATGTGAGTCTAGCATGATGGGATGATGTGAGTCTAGCATGATGGGATGATGTGAGTCTAGCATGATGGGATGATGTGAGTCTAGCATGATGGGATGATGTGATTGCTGCATGGTGTGATAATGTGAATGTATCATTATGTGTTGATGCGGTATTATGAGTGCGGCATAATATGTATGTATGGTATTGTGAATGCAGCATCATGCGTATGCTATTGTGAGTGCAGCATCATATGTATGGTATTGTGATCGCTACATGGTGCGATGACGTGAATGCAGCATAATGCATTATGATGCAGCAAGATGCGGTATTGTGAGTGCAGCATGATTGGCACGTGGTTGTCACTCGGCAGGCACCTGATTGGCACGTGGTTGTCACTCGGCAGGCACCTGATTGGCACGTGGTTGTCACCTGGCAGGCACCTGATTGGCACGTGCGAGGCAGGCACCAAAGCTACACTCGCAGCATTTCCCTGTCCCCTTTCCCCTGCACCCTCCGCACTACACACCCGTTCCCTCCTCCACCTACCCTACCTTCCCTCCTTCACCCCCTCACTTCCACCTCCCCTCTTCAGTCTCGATCCATCATTGATGCCTTCCCGGACGTCCCCACTCTCGTCAACTTCGGGTTTCCCTTCTGCACTTCTGCAACCCTCACCTCCTCCTCTGCCATCCCCCACCCCCTTCCACCTCCCCCCTACACACACCTCCCCCCTTCAGTCACGAGCCATCATCGATGCTTTCCCAGACGTCCCCACTCTCGTCAACTTCGGACCAGACCATCTGTGTGGCACATGGCACCACAACTACACCCGCATGCACCACCAGGGTCTTAAGCTTCCTCTGCTCGCCCGAACCACCAACATCCTTTCTCCTTCCCCTTGCCCTCTCCACCCTCCCTCCCCCTCCTCCCTTCCCCCGCCGCACCCATCCCCCCTCCCCGTCCCGCCTTTCCCCCCCCCCTCCCCCACACCTTTTTCCCTTTTCAGTCGCGAGCCATCATCGATGCTTTCCCCGACGTCCCCACTCTTGTCAACTTCGGGTTCCCCGACCACCTCTGCGGCACATGGCACCACAACTACACTCGCATGCACCACCAGGGCCTGCATGCGGCCTTCATGTTTCCTGTGCTCCTCCCCATTCCCGCATTTTCCTCTCTGCTTTCCCCTCTCCAATCCCATCCCCCACCACTCCACCTCTTCCACCTCCCCTTCCCCCCACCTTCCCCCCCACACACCTCCCTTCCTTCAGTCGCGAGCCATCATAGATGCTTTCCCCGACGTCCCCACTCTCGTCAACTTCGGATTCCCCGACCATCTGTGCGGCACATGGCACCACAACTACACTCGCATGCACCAGCAAATCCGGGCAGCCAGCAAAAGTCCCTCCTCTGCCCCGCCGCCCGACACGCCGCCCGTGAAATTTCTCACCTTTGACGGCCTCAGCCACTGCGACAGCCTCGGGGAGACCCTCATGGGGCTGACGTCAGCGTTCACTGTAGCTCTCCTCACTAACAGGGCCTTCGTTATAAAGCACCCGTGCATCCCCATGGCTTTTGAACCGGCGCTGATCGACTGGCAGCCCACAGAAGACGTTGGATTCGAGCCGGTCAGAAACGAAACTTTTCCGCTGAAACCTCCTGACCGGGCGGTCGATCCTCCAATAGGAGCGAGCGATATCGTGGAAATCAATCTGGAAAAAGATGACAGGTCGAACCCGGAGAAGGTGTTTCCGCAGGTGGAAGCTGCGAGGAACCTGCGTGTGGTGTGGAACAGAGACCTGCTGGTGCATATGCTGAAGGATGTGAAGGGATCGGCATGGAAAGACAGACTCACAGAGATGGGCATCAGTATTCCGTATTCGTTCGGCTGCTTGGTGCGATACCTGCTAAGGTGAGAGGGTGAGAGATGCAAGGAAGCTGCGTGTGGTGTGGAATAGAGACCTGCTGCTGCATATGCTGAAGGACGTGGAGAGGCTCACGGAGATGGGCATCAGTATTCCGTATTCGTTCGGGTGCTTGGTGCGATACCTGCTAAGGTGAGAGATGGTGAGATGGTGAGATGGTGAGAGGTGGGAGGTGAGAGGTGAGAGGTGAGAGGTGAGAGGTGGGAGGTGGGAGGTGGGAGGTGAGAGGTGAGTGGTGAGTGGTGAGAGGTGGGATGGGAGGGAGGACATTGCTGGGTGTTTGGAGGGTTCACAATAAGCCTCGTTGATTCCCACCCTCCGTATGCCCTTCATGTATCCTTTCTCTTTCCCTTTCAGTTTCCTCTTTCCCTTTCAGTTCCTTCTTTCCCTTTCATTTTTCTTTATCCTTGTCAGTTTCCTCTTTCCTTGTCAATTTCGCCTATCCTTTTCCATTTCCCCATCGTCTCTCCTCTCCAGGCCCAAGCCGGAGGTGTGGCACAGGATGCAGCCGTTTGAGAAGCAGCTGAGGGGCGACAAGGTGGTGAGCATCGGCATGCATGTGAGACAGTTCGGTCAAGGCCCCGCCCGGCCCAACGCCACCGTCAGCCCGGAGGAGCTGCAGCGAGGCATGAACGACTCTGTGCGACCTGCATTTCAGTGCGCTGAGGTGAGGGTCTCTTACTGGGGGAGGGCATGCACGTGAGACAGTTTGGCCGAGGGCCCGCCCGGCCCAACGCCACTGTCAGCGCAGAGGAGCTGCAGCGAGGCGTGAACAACTCCGTGCGGCCCGCCTTTCAATGCGCTGAGGTAAGTTGGTGGCCCCATGGTAGGAGGAGCAGGGAAGCCCCTTACTGAGTGGTCGTCCCTCGGAGCGAGTGAGGTGAGTGGTCGTCCCTCGGAGCGAGTGAGGTGAGTGGTCGTCCCTCGGAGCGAGTGAGGTGAGTGGTCGTCCCTCGGAGCGTGTGAGGTGAGTGGTCCTCCCCACCCTCCCCCACCCTCCCGCACCCTCCCGCACCCTCCCGCACCACCGCACCCCCTTGGTCGTCCCTGGGAGGGACATGGGTGGGGGCGGCCTCCCCACACCACCCAATCGAACCCCATTTAGAGGTCATGGTTCAATACGTGGCAGCAAGTTACTTGAGTATGACACCGGAGTTTTTTTTTTTTTTTTTTTTTTTTTTTTTTTTTTTTGTCGTCTCTGGGAGGGACATGGGTGGGGGCGGCCTCTCACACCACCACCCCGGCCCAACACCACCATCATGTGCAGAACTGGTGGTACTCACAACAATAGAATGTGCAGAACTGGTGGTACTCACAACAATAGAATGTGTAGAACTGGTGGTACTCACAACAATAGAATGTGTAGAACTGGTGGTACTCACAACAATAGAATGTGTAGAACTGGTGGTACTCACAACAATAGAATGTGCAGAACTGGTGGTACTCACAACAATAGAATGTGCAGAACTGGTGGTACTCACAACAATAGAATGTGCAGAACTGGTGGTACTCACAACAATAGAATGTGTAGAACTGGTGGTACTCACAACAATAGAATGTGTAGAACTGGTGGTACTCACAACAATAGAATGTGCAGAACTGGTGGTACTCACAACAATAGAATGTGCAGAACTGGTGGTACTCACAACAATAGAATGTGCAGAACTGGTGGTACTCACAACAATAGAATGTGCAGAACTGGTGGTACTCACACCAATAGAATGTGCAGAACTGGTGGTACTCACAACAATAGAATGTGTAGAACTGGTGGTACTCACAACAATAGAATGTGCAGAACTGGTGGTACTCACAACAATAGAATGTGCAGAACTGGTGGTACTCACACCAATAGAATGTGCAGAACTGGTGGTACTCACAACAATAGAATGTGCAGAACTGGTGGTACTCACAACAATAGAATGTGCAGAACTGGTGGTACTCACAACAATAGAATGTGCAGAACTGGTGGTACTCACAACAATAGAATGTGCAGAACTGGTGGTACTCGTCAGCCCTCACTGTAAAGTGGCTCGTTGAATATCAACCCACTCCCTATCAATCAGTCCAGGCCTCTCTCCCCTTGCTCCTGCATCCCCACCTCACAACAACAGAATGTTCAGAACTGGTGGTACTCGTCAGCCTTCACTGTCAAATGGCTCGATATTTGGCCTGTCAGTGACCACTCGTTACAAAATTCACCTTTTTCCCCTTGTCCATACACGCATGTCCCCCCAAAAACACCAGAACGTTCAGAACTGGTGGTACTCGTCAGCCCTCACTGTGAAGTGGCTCGTTATTAGCGACTCGCTGCAACTCAAACAGGAGGCCATCAAAGGAAACGAGTCCAAGGTAATGTGACTGTAATGTGTCCAAGGTGATGTGACTATAACGAGTCCAAGGTGATGGGACTATAACGAGTCCAAGATGATGAGTATATATATGTTCTGTGGTAATTTGACTTTGATGAAGTTTGGTGAAGGTAGCCTGCATGCTTGTGTCGCATTTATCTTGTGGATAGAAAGAAATGGGAGGTAAAAGACTAATACTCAAATTTAAGGTCATAAGAGACCGGTACTCAGATTTAAGGTCGTATTCCCTCCCCTCTTTGCAGGTTTTCATCACCAAATTCACCCCGTGGATCCCATCCCCCTTCCAGTTGCTTTCTTACCTTACGGACTTATTGACCCTAAACCCTCCCAGTGTTTTCCCCCCTCCCCGTGTTTCCCCCGTTTCTGTTGCAGGTGGTCATCACCGAATTCACACCATGGATCCCATCCCCCTTCCTCATCCGCTCCCCTCCCCCTCCGCCTCCTCCTTCCCCTCCCTCATCCGACCCTCCTCCGACGCCCACCCCAGCCGGCCCCCCTCTCCCTCCCATCCCCACCGTTCAAGAATTCCAAGAGACAGTCACCGAGTGGCTTCTCCTCTCTTCCTGCGACTCGTTTGTCGTTTCGCCCTCCGCCTTTGGCCGTACGGCGGCTATGTACTCAATGCAGCCGATGAGCATTTACATGACGCATTCGTGCCGGCCACAGGCGCCCGTACCCATCAGTACTCTCGTCTCCTGGTCACGGCGGCAGTTCTGAGGCTGTTGTTGACCTCCCTTTGGCCGTACGGCTGCAATGTACTCAATGCAGCTGATGAGTATTTACATGACGCATTCGTGCCGGCCACAGGCGCCCGTACCCATCAGTACTCTCGTCTCCTGGTCACGGCGGTAGTTCTGAGTGTACAGCCTCCCTGCATTCAATGTACCATCAGCATTTTTATCCACAGGTCACACAGCGGCAGTTCTGATTCTTGTTCCGTAAAAGGCTTGACCTGGTTGCAGTTGGTTTCCCTTGGCGTTCATCCGTCTATGGCCGATCATCATCGTGTATTCAACACAGCATTTTCCGTAAATGTCTGCATGGTGGCGCAATCGCATCTTTTAGGTGTCCCAAGTTGCCTTTGTACCCAATGACGCATTTGTGCAAGCACTGTGACCCATTCCTGTCAGCAGTCTAGACAACCACTCAAAGCGGAAGTTTCGAGCCCATTCTGTTGCATTGTATATGATGCATACTGCTTCTGTATCATACGTAGCACACAGCAGATGAATGAAACAAGCTGACACTGAGTCAACTCAAAAGACAGTGTGACACTGTGTTTCATTGTATAATCTATTCTTCTGCTTCTGTATCCTATGCAGCACGCAGCACTTGAATGAAACACTTGCATCATCGAGTCTCATTACAACAGCACTGGCGCTGCTAGTGTTCCTACAGACTCCATCTAAATGATTACAAGCCACCCTTGTTTCTTTGCTTTGCTAGACACGAGCCAGTTATTTATGGGATGCAACAAAAACATGGGCATGGAAACAAGTTGCGGGTTGAAAATGCAGCTTAAGAGGTGCAACATGCAATAGCATGCTCCTCAGGACTGCCTCTAAAACCCCTTCCCGAAGCTGCAAGGTGCAACGTGCAAAGCCATGTGCTTTAGAACTGCAGTTTTGACCCCTCTCCGAAGCCGCTAACATGGACGGGAGTCTGAGGCTCGCACGACTGTGGCGTGTAGATGCTCCTAGGGTGCACTGAATACATGTCTATAATGTGCAACGTGCAATGTGAAGTGTGCAATGTGAACTGTGCAATGCCACGTGCTCTAAAACTGCCGCTTCGACCCCTCCCCAAAGCTGCTAACGCGGACGGGAGTCTGAGGCTCACACGACTGCGGTGTGTAGATGCTCATAGGGTGCATCGAATACATGGCGGCCGTACGGCCAAAGGCGGAGGTCGAAACGACAAAGGAGTTGCACGAGGAGAGGAGCAGCCACTCAGTGACTGTCTCTTGAAAGGTTTGCACAGAGGGGATTGCAGGAAGAGGGGGTCCCTCAGGGGTGGTGGGATTGGAAGAAGGGTCGGAGGAGGGAGGGGGTGCAGGCGCGGGTGGGGGAGGGGGGCTTTGGCTGATGCTGAGGAGGGAGGGTGGGACCCACGGTTCAAATTCGGTGATCACAATCTGCAGTGAGAGGGGAAACACGGGGAGAGAAGGGGTGAGGAGTTTGTTATTGGGGGCCATGGGTGTTACTGGCTGATGCTGAGGAGGGAGGGTGGGACCCACGGTTCAAATTCGGTGATCACAAACTGCAAAGGAAGCAGGGTGGGGAAAGGAGGTAAGGGGGAGGTGGGGGAATGGGTTTCTTTTAACAGAAAGCCTTGGTGGTGCTGATGCTGAGGAGGGAGGGTGGGAATCACGGTTCGAATTCGGTGATCACAATCTGCAGTGAGCCGAGGGAGGAGACCAAGGGTGGTTGAAAAAGAACAGGAAATGTAGCCACGTGATAAAAGTGTAGTTTTGAGACGTCTCAAAACTACACTTTTATCACGAGACCAAGGGTGGCTGAAAAAGAACAGGAAATGTTTAGCAAGAGGGGTAACTTCAATGCGACTCAATGTGAAAGATCTCTAGCACGGGGGGGGAGGGGAGCTGGGACGGGACTTGCCCTTGGACTCGCTATAATCACACTACCTTTGAACTCAGATATATTGCATCACATCACCCTGGAATATTTTCACATCACCTTAGAATCGTTCACTTTGGTAGCCTCCTGTTTGAGTTGCAACGAGTCGCTAATAACGAGCCACTTCACGTCAAGAGTTGGCGGATACCACCAGTTTTCCAGATTCTGTTACATGTGTGGGGTGGGAACAGAAGATTTATAAGTTGAATAAAAATCGTCTTATAAAACATTGAGTTGCAAAGAGTAGCTGATAACGAGACAATTTACGTCAAGAGTTGGCGGATACCACCAGTTTTCCAAATTCTGTAAGATGCGTCTGGGGGGAAGGGGGTTTGGGCTGAGGGAGTGTTAGAGATGGGACGAATTGGTAGTTTCCTTGGTATTGTTTTCTGTGCACCCACCTTGGCGCACTCAATGGCGGGCCACACGACGTCGTCCATGACTTGCTTCACTTCCTCCAGGCTGACAGTGGTGTTGGGCGGGGGGATGCCGCGGCCGAACTGTCTCACATGCATGCCGATGCTCACCACCTTGTCGCCCCTCAGCTGCTTCTCAAACGGCTGCATCCTGTGCCACACCTCCGGCTTGGGCCTGCAGCGGAGTGGAGTGGAGTGGAGAACGAGAGAGGAAGGGAGGACGGGTGATTAAGGTAAGCTTGTGTTCACCACTCGCTTTCCATCAGATGCTTCTCAAACGGCCGCATCCTGTGCCACACCTCCACCTTGGGCCCGGAGAAAATTGAAAAGAGGAGTAAAAAACTAGACTCAAAATGAAGGGGATCACATGAGGAAGGGAGGGAGGGAGGGAGAGAGGGAGGAAGGAAGGAAAGGAAGGAGGAAGGGGGGGGGATAAGAAGGAAACTGATGACTGCGCAGCCAGCCACTCCGAACCACTCTCTCCCAGTTACCCACTCACCTCAACAGGTATCGGACGAAGCAGCCGAAAGCGTACGGAATTCGCACACCCATGCTCCTGAGTCTCTCCCCCCACACCGATTCATTCGCCCCCTTCAGCATATGCACCAGCAGATCCTTATTCCACACCACACGCAGGTTCCTCGCAGCTTCCACCTTCGGAAACACCTTTTCCGGGTGCGCCTCGGGATGTAATTCCAAATTAACTTCCACAATATCGCTCGCTCCTATTGCCGGCGTGACTGCCCGATCAGGAGGGTCCAACGGAAACGTTTCGTTTCTGACCGGCTCGAATCCAACGTCCTCTGTGGGTTGCCAGTCGATCAGCGCCGGTTCAAAAGCCATGGGGATGCACGGGTGCTTTATAACGAAGGCTCTGTTAGTGAGGAGAGCTACAGTGAATGCTGACGTCAGCCCCATGAGGGTCTCCCCGAGGCTGTCGCAGTGGCTGAGGCCGTCAAAGGTGAGAAATTTCACGGGCGGCGTGTCAGGCGGCGGGGCAGAGGAGGGATTTTTGCTGGCTGCCCGGATTTGTTGGTGCATGCGAGTGTAATTGTGATGCCACGTCCCGCATAGATGGTCCGGGAAACCGAAATCGATGAGAGTGGGGACGTCCGGGAAAGCATCGATAATGGCCCGAGACTGAAAAGGGGAGGAGCAAGATGGCGGTGGGGAAGGGGTTGGGGTTGGGGAGCGATAAAGTATTTGGGTCACGGCGGGTGTATTGGGAAGCAGAGGCGTAAGAAACATGAGGAATTTGCATGGAGGGGGGAGTTGGCCAAAAGAACTCCCAGAGAAACATCATGCTTCACTCGAAACAACACATCAGGCTGTACGCACATCTCGCATCAGGCTGCATGGACATCATCGCACCATGCTGCACATACACCATCGCATCATGCTGCATGCACGTCATCGCACCATGCTGCACTCACATCATGCCATTCATCCACTCACAAGGGCATCGCGGTGGTGAATGCGCTCGTCTGCTGCATTCCCAGCCTGATGTGACAATAAAGGGAAGGTAAGGGAAAGGCCGGGAAAGGCTTAGTGGATGCGAGGAGAGACGAGGGATGCGGAACGCTAAAGCATAAACATTGAGTAAAAAAACCAGCAGCTTTTATTTCGGACAACCTCGTGTGGAATCAAGATGAAGCTCATAACTAATTACAGATAAACGTTCGAACCTTCCGCTAGGACAACTGCATGGGCGACCTTTAGAACGGACAAACGTAAATGTTAGAAAAGCGATCATGAAACATGACGAAAAACTGCATGGGTGATCTAAAACAGCTTTTCTTTAATGAATACTACGTGACAATGATAACTGCGACGCCGAAAGTGTCGCCAGTAACGAGACTCACGTGTAGAAGGGCAATAGCATAAGTAAGAAACAGGAAACGCTGAGCTGATGAAATTCTTCGACCTAACGAAATCCGTCGAGCGACTCGCATTCTGTCAGTCGAGTCACGAAGTCCTTGAACAGGCAGCATCTCCGGACTCACGTGCTCTGAAAGACAGAGACAACACAGCTGCTTCGGCTACAGCGGAATAACTTAGAGATTCCCGTCTATGTGAACAACTAGCTAACAAGGTAGTAGTAGCTAGTGGACGTCGCATGAGCGAAAAAGGTGAAGCTGGAACTAGTGGATCAGGATGCATCACCTCGATTTCTCCCTGAAATACCCGCCAGTTTTTTCCCGTCAAAAAACTGACTGAAAGCTCACTGTCTGCCAATTTTCCATACCGAACCGACTGGTTTGACTCGACTTCTACCCGGACGGTTCAACCAACCCTGGAAACTCCGCTATAAGTGATTCATGCACAGTAACCAACGCAACATCCATGCTGCAGTGATTCTGGGTTGCCCACACTTTTGTCTTACCAAGACATGATTTTAGCATCGGCTCTTAGGACTGCTATTTCAACCCCTGTCAGACTGCTGCTGATGCAGACTGGTGTCAGGTGCAGTGATGCTACATTGGTTTTACAGTGGGCCTTGCACATCTCACTCTGCTGTGTAAGGTGTATATGCGTATGCATGGGATGCATAAAATAACCCAGTTGAGTGCAGCGCAGTGATATGGCCGACAAACTAAGATGCAGCGCCGCAGCGCCCATTTCAACTAACTACAGGCAGCCATCCAGTGCAATTCACACGCATCTCAAAATTGCCGCTTGGACTCTTCTCCAAAGCTGCTTACGCGGACGGGAGTCTGAGGGTCGCACGAACGAGGCATGTACATGCCCAGAGGATGCATCGAGTACATGGCGGCTGTACGCCCGAAGGCGGAGGTCGAAACAATAAAGGAGTTGCACGAGGAGAGGAGAAGCCACTCAGTGACTGTCTCTTGGAACGTTTGCACGGAGGGGATATCAGAGAGAGGGGAACCGTCTGGGGTTGTGGTGGTGGTGGTGGTAGTGGTGGGATCAGAAGAAGGGTCGGAGGAGGGAGCGGGCGCGGGTGGCGGACTTTGGCTGATGTTGAGGAGGGAGGTCGGGAGCCACGGGTCGAATTCGGTCATGACGATCTGCAAAGGAGGTGAGGCGGGCGAAGGGGAGTAGGGGGAATGGGGACATCAGTTCAGTATTGAATGTTTCGGGTGGTACTTTTGCTGGGGAGGGAGGGCGGGACCCATGGGTGATGAGATCTTTAAAGGAGGTGGGACGGGTGAAAGGGGAATGGGGAGGAAACGGGATGGGCTTTTTTCTACCAAACTACAGTTCTCTTGAACGTTAGCAACTGATGCTGAGAGCCTTGGATGGCACTGTTGTTGAGGAGTAAGGGGGGGTTGGGACCCACTGGATTAAATGGGGTGTTTATGATCTGCATAGAGGGGTGGGAGTAAGCGAAGCTTTTGTCAAACCCCTGGAGAGAATCAGCAAGCGGAAGGGGAAACCGACATAATGTGGTGATAGGTCTGCATGGAGGAAATGAAGTTGGAAGAAGATGGTTCAGAAAAAGGATGATATCAGTGCTCGAGGGGGGCTTGGGTGGCGGGGGGGTTGGGTGGTGGGGGGATTGGGGGTGGTGGAGATGATGGTGGGGAGGGAGAACCCATTGGTTGGATTCAATGATGACAGAGGACAGGGGCATGGTGGGAATAAGAGAAAGAGAGGAGAGGAGAGGAGAGGAGAGGAGAGGAGAGGAGAGGAGACGAGAAGAGAGGAGAGGAACTGAGATGAGAGAAGAGGGAAGGAGAGGAAAGGTAAAAAGAAGACATATAGTCACACGCTTTGGACTTGTTATTATCACAATACCTTAGACCTGTAAGAATCACATAATATTGAGCTCGTTATGAACCACATCACCTTGGACTCGTTATAATCACATCACCTTGGACTCGTTCACGTCAATGGCCGCCTTCTGCTTGAGTTGCAGCGAGTCGCTAATGACGAGCCACTTCACATTAAGGAACGGTGGGTACCACCAGTTCTCCACGTCCTGTTGGTTTGGGGGGGCGGGGAGGGCGTGCGTGCAAGCAAGAGGAGAGCAGCGGACTGTTTGGGTTGTCGCCAATCGCTATAACGAGCCACTTCACGTTGAGGAATGGCGGGTAACACCAGATTTCCTAACTCTGCCATGTGTGTGTGTGGGGAGAGGTGGAGATGGGAGTTACGATAGAACACTACCACCAGTTCTCGCCACTCTGCCGTGTGTGTGGGGAGGTGTGGGGGTGGAGGGGTCAGAGGTGGGAAGAATTACGAGAGAGCGCTACCACCAGTTCTCCACACTCTGCCATATGTTTGGGGCGGGAAGGGGGGTGGGGGTGTCAGAGGTGGGAAGAGTGAAGAGAGAAAACTACCACCAATTCTCAAGATTTGTGTGATAATTGGAGGGGTTGGAGGTGGAAAAAATAGGAGGGAGCACTGAAGGCAGGTTGTTGTTCTTCCTCTTGCCCTTGCTTACTTTCTTCTAAGCTTGCAATGCTGGAAAACTCTCATAAAGGTGAAACATTTCACATTAAGTGTTGCATGGTCGTTACTACAACCACTTTCCAGATTCTCCTGTTTTCGGGGTCCACATATGAGCAAATAGCGTGAGAGAATCAAACTGCCCGAATCACAGAATATCCTTTAACACGCTGCTCCGTGGGGGAGGGAGGGGAGGAAAGGGGGCGGCTATCCGCGTCCATTTCTCTGCTTGTTCCCAAACAGACTATCCTTTTTCCTGAATCCTGATAAGAACACCCACCTTGGCGCATTTTATGGCAGGCCACACAATGTCATTCATAGCCCTCCGCAACTCGCCCGAGATGACTTCAGAGTCGACTCAAAAGTCTTCCCCTGAATCCTGATAAGAACACCCACCTTGGCGCATTTTATGGCGGGCCACACGATGTCATTCATAGCCCTCCGCAGCTCGCGTGAAATGCGTTGCGTTTTGAGTCGACTCAAAACAACACCCACCTTGGCGCATTTTATGGCGGGCCACACGATGTCATTCATAGCCCTCCGCAAGTCGCCCGAGCTGATGGTGGTGTTCGGCGGGAGGGACCCGCGGCCAAAGTGCCTGACGTGTACGCCAATGCTCACCACCTTGTCGCCCCTTAGCTGCTTCTCAAACGGCTGCATCCTGTGCCACACCTCCGGCTTGGGCCTGGAGAGGACGACCGGTTTGTGGGAAAGGGGGAAGGAGAAGGATTCATGAGGTAAGCTTGAGTTTGCTCACCTGTGCTCCCCACCTGCTTCCCCTGAGCTGCTTCTCAAACGGCTGCATCCTGTGCCACACCTCTGGCTTGGGCCTGGAGAGGAGAGGAGGGGAGTGATGGAGAGACACAGGGGGATGGACGTTTGAGGTAAGCCTGTGCTCACCACCTTGCATCCAGCGTGACACCTATGGAGTGAGCCTTCACAAAAGATAGAGAAAGAAAGAAAGAAAACGGATGGGGAAAGGGCACTGCAAAGGCCAGAGGGTGGGGCCAATTAGGATTGATAAACTTAACCAACTCTCAAACATATGCAGAATATTCTCACCTCCCACCTCTCACCGTCTCACCTCAGCAGGTATCGCACAAAGCAGCCGAAAGCGTACGGGATACTGACACCCATGTCTTTGAGTCTCCCTCCCCACACCGACTCATTCGCCCCCTTCAGCATATGCACCAGAAGGTCCTTATTCCACACCACACGCAAGTTCCGCGCAGCTTCCACCTGCGGAAACACCTTTTCCGGGTGCGCCTCGGGATGTAATTCTAGATTGATCTCCACAATATCGCTCGCTCCAATTGGCGGCGTGACCGCCCGGTCAGGATGCTCGAGCGGAAAAGTTTCGTTTCTGACGGGCTCGAATCCCACGTCTTCTGTCGGCTGCCAGTCGATCAACGCCGGTTCAAACGCCATGGGGATGCACGGGTGCTTTATAACGAAGGCCCTGTTAGTGAGGATAGCTACAGTGAACGCTGACGTCAGCCCCATGAGGGTCTCCCCGAGGCTGTCGCAGTGGCTGAGGCCGTCAAAGGTGAGAAATTTCACGGGCGGCGTGTCGGCCGGGGGGTCGCCAGAGGGATTTTTGCTGGCTGCCCGGATTTGCTGGTGCATGCGAGTGTAGTTGTGGTGCCATGTGCCACATATCTGGTCAGGAAAACTGAAATCGATGAGTGTGGGGTCATCAAGAAACCCATCAATGATGGCTCGAGACTGAAGGGGGGAGGTGGGGGGAAAGGTAGTAGGGGGGGAGGGGGGGGGGGAAGGGGGAAGCGGGAGGGAAGAGGAGGAAAGGGTAGCAGAAAGGGGAACAGGAAGTGGAGAAAAGGATTTTGGAAATGCTGCGAGGAGAAAAAAATGGCATGAGAACTTTCCAATGTTAACAAAGGTACGTGGGTAAGATACAACATCTATTCAGAGAGGCAACTCCATGGCCATCCTCCGATTGTTCAAATGATCAAGGGGCAAAAATACGAATGGTATCCTTTAAAACGACCGTAAAAAAAGGTTATATATTTTTTAATATTTCTGAAGGAGAAATAGCACATTGTTGTTTTTGGTAGAATAACCTGCTGTTGTAACATGGCCATTGGCCACGTTTTCGTGAGTAAGATGAGGTGGCTGTTACAAGTGATATTGGTTAAGAGTACTCATATCTACAGGTAATATTCTTGCACCCTCATCTTGCATTCCTCATCACATAATGCCTCACACACATATCACATCATGCTGCACTCACATAATCACATCACACCATACACTCACTCACAAGGGCATCGCCGTGGTGAATGCGCTCGGCTGCTGCATTCCCAGCCTGATGCGACAATGAACGGGGAGGAGGGAGTCCAGGTGTCGCTTAGTGGCCGGGAGGAGAGAAAAGCCATGAGCATTCGGATGCGGATGTGGACGCGAATGCATGGACATTTCTTGTGCAGGGATGTATCATGTTGTGTGCGGAACGGCAAATAATACTCAGTGAGTCAAGGAGCTAACAGCATTTAATCCAGACACGCTACTGTGGGCTTTGTCAGGCGGGATACACGGATTGCCAGGCGGAGATCCAAGGTTAGTCAAAGACTAATGTCCAGAACATGCGTTCAGAAGAAAGAATAAAAAAGAAGCACCGGTGGTCGTGACAACGGACAAGTGACAATCTTGGGATGCCATTTTAAAGCCTTTTTCTCGTAAATTGATAATGAGTTGACCATGATCATCAGTCGACAAATAAATGGGAATAGCGAGACTCACGCGCAGAACGGCGATAGCGCAAGCCAGAAACAGAAACCGCTCAAGTGACGGGATCCCTCGAGCTAACGGAATCCGCCGAGCGACTGTCATTGTGCCCGTCGAAACCCAGAGAAGCTGAACTAAAAGCGTCACACCCGTGCACATACACAGCTAACTGAACGTCTATCAGGTTTCGATCATCCCTAAGGTATTCCTCCTGATACTGGCCCTGTATACACTGTTTTCCCTCAGAGCTTCCTGAATCCTCCCTGACAGACTGCCATGCTTCCCAAGGGACTGGGATTGACGAGAACCAACCTTGGGATTGCCGGCCGATGGGTTCGTTTGCTGATGGAATTTCTTCTGCAGGGGCGAGTTTGATCTCGCCTGACGAGCCCGCTATGAGCTGTCCATTCGACACAGAAGAACTCAGAGATTCTTGTGTTAATTTTGAGAGATTATTAAGTCGTTGTTTTCCATATATCAAGTTCCTAAACACAGAAACAGGGGATATGATGCACATTATAGCAGGCTCACACTAATTTTAGGGCTTCTGACTGAAATAGCATGCAAATTAAACGACATAATCAGATTAGCATTCACAAGTATAGCATCAGAAGAAGCCTTCTAACGACTAATTATGCAGTATAGCTCCCCAAATTCAAATCATTCATCAAGAAGACCATTTTAACTTTCCTAGATAGTAAACAGTAAGAGCGTATTCCTATCCTCGTATCAAGAGAACCTCGTATCAAGATTGTACTTTTTGCCTGGTAAAACTAGCGATAGGTTTTGGGTTTAGGGGAATCTTCAGTGGGAGGTTGATATGAGGTTCTCTTGATACGAGGATAGGAATACGCTCTAAGCAAGCAACCAAATCTGCATGGTATTTCCTTGCCTAGAGATGTGTTATACTTCTCACAAATTACTCAAACGTGTTCCACCCATACAAGTCAAACGAGCTCGCACTACCCGGCTGCACCTCACCCTGCCTTCCAGACCTCTACTCTTACTGCCAGGTGAGCCAATGCAATGCACCTCACCCTGCCTTTTCTGTAAAGTGTTTCCTTCATACTGCTCACAAATCACTCAAACGCATTCCACCCATACGAGTCAAACGCGCTCGCACTACCCGGCTGCACCCCCCCCTGCCTCGCAGCCCCGGGTGTTTCCGCCTCTTCCGCCGCCTTGTCATAGTTGTACGCGTCGAAGTGCGACGCGGTAACATGCTGGTTACCGCCCGCACCGCCCCCACTGCTTCGGAGATTGGCAAAGGGGTCCCCTCCACTGTCCTCCTCCTCACTGCTATGCACCTCCTCCTCTTCCTCTCCCCTTCCTCCTCCGCCTCCTCTTCCTCCTGCCATAGTCCCCGCACTTGCTCCGTAGGGGTTGGAGTCGAAATGGTCGTCGAAGCCACTGGCGAAGGATTGGAACTGGCCGGGATGGAACTCGCCAGACTGGAATGAGGGATTGGAGGGAGATGGGGGGGAGATGGGGGGAGATGGGGAGAGATGGGGGGAGATGGGGGAAGATGGGAGGAGTACAAAGGTGGGCGAGTGAGATAGCATGGTCGTCGAAGCCACTGGCAAAGGATTGGAACTGGCCCGGATGGAACTCGCCAGACTGGGAAGGGGAGGGAGTGGGTGGGTGGGAAAGTGAGGAAGTTTCCGAGTTGACTCAAAGTTTGAGTCGAGACGATCGTTGGAGAGGGAGTGGTCGAGTTGGAAATGGCCGTGATGGTACTCGCCAGACTGGGAGGGGGAGGGAGTGGGTGTGATAAGAAGGGAGGGGAAGTGAGGAATTTTTGAGTTGACTCAAAGTTTGAGTCAATACGATCGTTGAAGGGTGAAAGGTCGAGTTGGAAATGGCCGTGATGGTACTCGCCAGACCGGGAGGGGGAAGGGGGGGACAGTGGGAGGTGGAGGAGGGGATGGGCGGGGGAGTGAGAGCGAATTATTATCGAAGCCACTGGCGAGCGATTGGAGTTGGGCGGGATGAAACTTGCCAGACTAGGCTCCTCAGCACGTCAATTTTGTACTCACGCGAGCGTGTGGGCCGGAGGGGGGGTCCACAGAGGGGCGGAAGGAAGAGGAGGTGTCGAGAGCACAGCTCTGGGGTGCTGCTCTTCCTTCCACCCCCTACCCCATAGCTCTGGTCGAACCGATTTTTGAGTCGACTCAAAAATCGACTTGACACACAAAGCAGCACCCCCTACCCCATAGCTTGGTCAAACGACCCCACTTTGAAACATATACACCACTCCACTTCACTCTCAGCTCACCCGAGCGTGCGGGCCGGATGGGGAGTCCACAGAGGAACGGAAGGAGGAGGAGGTGTCGAGAGCAGCACCACCAGCACCGTAATGCTGAACAAACGGCCCCACTTGGAACAACTGAGCACATGAAGTCTACACACTCACCCGGGCATGAGGGCCGGATGGGGAGTCCACAGAGGAACGGAAGGAGGAGGTGTCGAGAGCAGCACCACCAGCACCGTAATGCTGAACAAACGGCCCCACTTGGAACAACTGAGCACATGAAGTCTACACACTCACCCGGGCATGAGGGCCGGATGGGGAGTCCATAGAGGAACGGAAGGAGGAGGAGGTGTCGAGAGCAGCACCACCAGCACCGTAATGCTGAACAAACGGCCCCACTTGGAACAACTGAGCACATGAAGTCTACACACTCACCCGGGCATGAGGGCCGGATGGGGAGTCCACAGAGGAACGGAAGGAGGAGGAGGTGTCGAGAGCAGCACCGCCCGCACCGTAATGCTGATCAAACGCCCCCACTCCACCGTAATGCTGGTCGAACGTACTCGCATCAAAACCCCCCTTGAAGCTTGCTGCACCCGTGGCCGAGTCGAACGCGCTCGCGTCAAATCCACCCTTGAAACTCGCTGCGCCAGTGGCAGAATCAAATATGCTCCCCCCATACCCCTTGAAGCTTGAATCCCTGGAGAAGCTCGGGTCCCGGCCAAAGCTGGAATCGCGGCCGAAACCCTGGTCAAACTGAGAGGCATCAAACGGCGCGGCGTCAACCGGATTGGCGTGAAACGGCGAGGACTCAAACGTATCGGCAGCACCACCCAGCTGCTGCTGCTGCTGGGAGTGGATAGGGCTATCTTCCTGACCCACAGCAGCGTGCGTAAGAGGCGACTGAGCCTCATCGTTTCCACTCCTCCGCCGCCCCTCAGTGCTAAACGAGGTGGGGAAGGGAGACGCGGATTCTGAAGGGTCTGCAGCTGCTCCTCCACCTGCGCCGAACGGGTCCTCCTCTGGTTCTGCTGAGAAATCAAATGCGAAGGACCCGGATTTGGTCTCTGTTACTGCAGCGCCACCTTCACTGTCGGCACTGGGAGATAGGCCGAAGGCGGCAGCGGGAGCAGCGGTGGCAGCAGCAGCAGCAGCAGCAGCAGCGGCCACAGCAGCTGTTGCTGCTGCAGGGATACCAGCAGCAGGTGCAGCAGTGTCACTCGAATCTGCTGCTTGTTCGTCCTCCTCCTCATCCCTTCCTCTCCCCCGAGATCCATAGCCCTTCCTTCCACTGTCACTCTCTGCATCACTCTCAACCATATCTTCTGACACAAGCCCATGAGCTGTGTAGGGCCGTGACACCTCCTCTCCCTCTCCATACCCATCCCTTCCTCCTCCTCCTCCTCCTCCTGCTACTGCCCCCACTCCTGCTCCTGCTCCTTCTCCGTACCTCCCTCCCGGACCAGCCGTCATCACCGAACCAAAACCCAAGCCTCCAGCGCTGCTCGCTCCGCTCGCCGTGCTATCTTGCTGTGGGGAGTCCACCGAACCTAAATCCAAGGTTCGACGCACAGACGTGGCCGAGGGTGGAGACTTCCCTGCTGACAAGGCAGCAGCAGCGCCACCAGCAGCAACACCAGCAGGGGTGGAATCAGGCGTTCCAGAAGCAGCGTTAATTGCTGCAGCAGCAGCATTAGCAGCTGCCAGGCTCTTTGCAACCGAAGCAGGGTTGAAGGGAGAAGCAGTAGTAGATGCTCTACTGCTGGTGGATGCAGCAGCAGAGACAGGAGAAACCGGAGACACGCCAGATGTTGGAGAGAGAGAGAAGGATGACGCCAGGTCAGCCAAACTCGGCATCGCTGCTCCTCCTGACCCCCTTCCTCCTGCTCCTCCTGCTGCTGCTCCTGCTTTACCCGCGCTGCCACGGGACCAGCCTTGGAAGGGGAATCCAAGAATCTCCTTGGAAGCACCAGGTGAGGCCGATGCTGCACTCTCCTCTTGCACTGCTGACGTCGAAGTCTCCCCATCGATCTCCTGCCCTTCTCTCTCGGCTTCCTTTCCTCCAGCTCCTGCTTCTGCTTCCTTGGTCTGCTTTTCCTCCGCTCCTGATCCTGCCCCTCCTGCAACCACCCCTTCCATCATCCCGTCCTTGCTCCCCCTTCCCCCTCCCTCTCCCTCTCCTCCTGCTGTAATCTGCAGCACAGGCGTCGAATCCATCACAATCTCCTCCACCTCCTCCTCTTCCTCCTCCTCGTCCTCCTCCCCATGCCTCTGCACACCAATCATAGCCTCGTTTGAATCCGCATCCTCATCCTCCTCTGGAGAGAAGAAGTCAGCTGGACCGGACGGAGCCGAGCCCATGCTCTTCTCCTTCTTCTTCCTCTTCTTCTCCTCCTCCTTCTCCTTCTCCTGCTTCTCCTTCTCCTCGTTCTCCTTGGCACCTCCTAGGCCTTCCCCTCCTGTATTCGCAGCACCATCAACCCCGGCCATCCCCTCTCCCCGCTTCCCATCCTCCACCTCTCCCTCTCCCGCACCCTCCTCCCCTTCTCCCTTGCCAGTTTCAGTTGCTGCTGACGCCCCACCCTTCTCCTCCTGCTTCTTGGATTTCGGCCTCGGGAACGGGTCTTCGTTCTCAGCTAATGGGGTGTCTCCAATATCCCGCACCACCACCAGCCCTTCAAACTGCACGTCGTCCCACTCGTCGTCCCAGTCTGTTGCTTTCTCCTGAAGATTCGCCTGCCAGCCTGGACAAAACGGAGAAAGACGGAGAAGCCACTTGGCGAAGCATTAGTTAAAAACACAACAGTAACCCACACCAGTTGTTGCTTTCTCCTGGCGAATGAAACGATAATCCCTCAGCACATGCGCATATCTTGTCTGCACTGATTAACGAGAAACCTCCTGAACATATCTACAAGATATGTTGTCACAAGAGTCTACACTCTCCAAAGTCACTCCCATCCCACAGCCAACACATAGAGAAAAAACCAACACTTAAACAGAGAGTACGCTTATAATCCACAACAGAGGCCCCACTTAATGCCCAAGCCCAATGACCATGGTAGGAGGCACGTAACAAGATTGATTGATGGCATGATCGCACAATGTCATGATTCGAATGCTTACCAAAGGGAGTTTCGGATCCCACAAGGGGCCGCACTTTGAGCCCGATGGCCGTGGCATGGCATGATGCAAAAGGAACCAATGTACAAGATTGCTGTCACAGGCTTACAGACTTACCAAAGGGAGTTTCGGATCCCACAAGGGGCCGCACTTTGAGCCCAATGGCCGTGGCATGGCATGATGCAAAAGGAAACAATGTACAAGATTGCTGTCACAGGCTTACAGACTTACCAAAGGGAGTTTCGGATCCCACAAGGGGCCGCACTTTGAGCCCGATGGCAGTGGCATGCGCGAACACCGCCTTGCGCATCTCCTCCACCTCCAGAGCCAAGCGGTCCGCCTTGTCCTGTTTGTCAAAAAGAGTGATCAAGGGATAATATAAACACCATGAGGGGCAACGAGAGTGGAAGCTCCTCCACCTCCAGAGCCAGGCGGTCCGCCTTGTCCTGTTTGTCAAAAAGAGTGATCAAGGGATAATATAAACACCATGAGGGGCAACGAGAGTGGCATCTCCTTTACCTCTAGAGCCAGGCGATCCGCCTTATCCTGCAAGTCAAGGAGTGAGGGACGTTGGGTAGTGAGATAACACGAAAAAATAACGTGAGGGGCAGACAGCAGTGGCATGCGCGAACACTGCTTTGCGCATCTCCTCCACCTCTAGAGCCAGTCGATCCGCCTTATCCTGGTGATGGGGATGGGGGGATGATGGCAAGTAAGGGTATGCATGGAGAGGAGAGTTGCAGTGGCAAGCGCGAACACTGCCTTGCGCATCTCCTCCACCTCCAGAGCCAGGCGGTCCGCCTTATCCTGATGATGATGCTGATGAGGAGGAGGTAAAAGCAAGTCATGGAGCGAGATAGCTTGAGTGAGTACAGAAGTGATGATGGCAGTGGCATGCGCAAATACGATTTTTGAGTCCACTCAAGAATCGACTCATCACACGAGATAGCTTGAGTGAGTACAGAAGTGATGATGGCAATGGCATGCGCAAATACGATTTTTGAGTCCACTCAAGAATCGACTCATCACACGAGATAGCTTGAGTGAGTACAGAAGTGATGATGGCAGTGGCATGCGCAAATACCCCTAGCACTGCACAGCACAGCACTCACAATCACTACTGAAGGTAAGTGGTTTGTCACTCATTAACCCCTTGCACCACACCACACCGCACCACACCACACCCCACCACACCCCACCCCACCGCATCCCACCCCACCCCACCCCACCCCACCCCACCCCACCCCACCCCACCGCACCACGCCACACCACACCTGCAGCAGCTGGTTGGGGTCGCCTCCTCGGTCCAGCCTTGACGTTGCGTTCATGATGATGTGAGCCTTCTCCTGGGAGAGGGATGGGTGGAGAGGGGTGGAAAAGGGTGGAAAAGGGTGTGGGGTAGGGTGGAAAGGAGACGGGTGCAGGATAGGGTAGAGAGGAGGCAGTAGGAAAGAAGATGCAGAGGGAGGAGAGAAGAGAAACTGATATGGCGTTTATGATCATCTGAGCTTTCTTCTGTGAGAGGGATGGGTGGAAATGCAGCAGATGCAGAGAGATGTCAGCAATGTGAGGGATGCAGAGGGGTGCCAGCGGGGTGCAGAGGTATGCAGAGGTATGCAGCGGAATGCAGAGGGATGCAGAGGGATGCAGTGTACCTGCATCTGCTGCAGTGCTCGCTCCTCTGCTGCAAGCTTCCCAGCCGACAGCTGAGCCGCCTTGTACTTGTCGTCATACTTCCGGGCCAGTTCCTCCATCTGTCATGACAGGAGCACGGAGAGAAGGCAGGGATGGGGACAGGGATAAAAGAGCAACTCGCTTCCCAGCCGACAGCTGAGCCGCCTTGTACTTGTCGTCATACTTCCGGGCTAGTTCCTCCATCTGCCACCAGGGGAACACGGAGAGAAGGTAGACATAGGGGCGGCTAAGAGGAGAACCAAGCTTCCCAGCCGACAGCTGCGCCGCCTTGTACTTGTCGTCATACTTCCGGGCTAGCTCCTCCATCTGTCATGCCAGGAACGTGGAGAGAAGAGGGGGATAGGAGGGAGGGGAGAGGAACGGGGAGAGGGGAGATTAGGCGCCTAAGACAGTGCACCTAGCTTCCCAGCCGACAGCTGAGTCATACTTCCGAGCCAGTTCCTCCATCTGGCACCAGGGGGACGGGGAGAGGGGAGAGGTGAGGAGAAAGGAGACCATGCATTTGCACGTACATCCCAGCAGGCACCCCAAAGTGGAACCAGATTTCTGAGGCGCGTAAAAAATCCTCAAAATCACCTCAAAGTTACCTCAAAATCGCCTCACTACAGATTACCAGCAGAGATTTGAACCGACTTGCACAATAGAAACCTGTCAACGTGCTCCCTAAGCTAAGATATTCAAAAAACAGTAGAAGACAAACTGAAGTCAAGACTCAAGCTGTGAGAACTATGTGCATAAGGATTTGAGACTCCCAAAATAAACAAACCTGCCTTTGTGATCAGCAGTACTCTGCCGCCACGTCAGCATGCCCAGCCCACCCCCTGTTTCCTCCACGTCAGCATGCTCATCTCCTGTTTCTCCACGTCAGCATGCCCACCCCCTGTTTCCTCCACGTCAGCATGCTCACCTCCTTTTTCTCCACGTCAGCCTGTTCAGAGACGTCAGCAAGGCGGAGGTCACAGCGACTCTTAAACATGACCTGGAATGGGAAGGTGGATGGGATAGGATGGGATACAGACAGAGGAGTCACACAAAAACGAACACACACACAGTATATTTTCTTTGTGTTGACTAGAAAATGTCACAGCGACTCTTGAACATGACCTGGAATAGGGGTAGGTGGATGGGATAGGATGGGACATGCATAGAAGAGGAGAGATACAGATTGAGGGACAGTGTCATCGCCACACCACTGACAGACGCCCTTACAATGCCACGTTTCTTACAGTGAAAACAACAGAAATTGAGGTGACTTTTGAGTCGACTCAAAAGTGACATGCATAGAAGAGGAGAGATACAGATTGAGAGGGACCGTGTCATTACCACACCACTGATAAACGCCCTTACAATGCCACGTTTCTTACAGTGAGGGACAGTGAAAACAACAGAATTTGATTGATTGCGACTTACAATCTCCTGCATTTTGTCACGGAAAAACACTGCCTTTTTCTTCTGATCCATCGCAGCGTCCTGAGCACACAGACAACAGGGGGGGGGGGGGGTGGGGGGAAGAATTAGAGAGCAGATTCGATGCACTGTGTGCAAGAGCACACATGCACGCACACATGTGCGTGCAAGTGCATGCACAAGAACACAGCCTTTTTCTTCTGATCCATGGCGGCGTCCTGAGCACACAGACCAGACAGCAGGGGACGCGTGGAGGGGGGGGGGAGGGCGCATTACAGAGCACACATGTGCGTGAAAGTGCATGCACAAAAACACAGCCTTTTTCTTCTGATCCATGGCGGCGTCCTGAGCACACAGACCAGACAACAGGGGACGCGTGGAGGGGGGGGGAGGGCGCATTACAGAGCACACATGTGCGTGAAAGTGCATGCACAAGAACACAGCCTTTTTCTTCTGATCCATGGTGGCGTCCTGAGCACACAGACAACAGAAATGGGAGGAAGGGGGGTTGGTAGTGGTGACATGACAGTACGAAGAAAAACCATTTCCAAGCTTGAACAAAGGCAACAAGGAAAATTCATTTCCTGGCGTGGTGGTGACATGACAGTATGGAGAGAGAGAGATTTGCTAGAGGATTACCTTTCTGGGTGCACCTTTCGTTGGAGAAACCAGAACACCTGCAACGTGAACTTTTTCCTAAACCGGCATCTTGAGATGTCTCAAAACTAGATGTATCAAGAGAGGATTACCTTTCTGGGTGCACCTTTCGTTGGCGAAACCAGAACACCTGCAGGCAACGTCAACAGCACAAAATAGTCGAATTGAAGCAAGGTCGATTATAAATGAATTTCTAGAGGCCTGGAGTGGACACCTGCACTGATGACGACAACACACGGACAACAGCCAAAGAAACGCACAACATTATCACCAACTCCAATCCGTGATTTCGGTGTGTGATATTTGTTTCGATGTGTGTTGTGTGTGTGTGTGTGTGTGTGTGTGTGTGTGTGTGTGTGTGTGTTTTGGGGGGGGGGGAAGGTGGGGGTTAGGTCACCTGGATCGCGCTGCCACGTGGGCACATTCACCCTCTGCGAGTGCTGAGTGTGTTTGTTTGTGTGTCTGTGTTTTTTCCAAGGAAGGGGGGTGGGGTGGGGGAGGGTCACCTGGATCGCGCTGCCACGTGGGCACGTTCACCCCCTGCGAGTGCTGAGTCAGCGCCGCCTGCGCCTCGGCCAATCGTTTCGCAGCAATGGCCGTGCGCTGGTCCTGCACCGGTTCGTCCACGTGGAAGCCACGTGGCAGCGTGGGCGGCAGCTTTCGTCCCGACTTGTAGCGCTCGATGAGGTAGGAGGCGGTGCAGAACTCGCGGAGAGTCAAGTTGCCGTCCTTGTCCTCATCTGAGAGGTCCCACACCTGCTTCAGCACGTCTGAAGGAATGAAAAAGAGTCCGAGGGCATGTGGTGGGAGGGAACACTCGATGAGGTAGGATGCGGTGCAGAACTCGCGAAGAGTCAAGTTGCCGTCCTTGTCCTCATCTGAGCGGTCCCACACCTGCTTGAGTACATCTGAAAAGGGGGGCAAACAAGGGGTGGGTTTGGTTTAGGAAGGAGGGGGGGAAGGAGAGAGGGAGGGGGGGGAGCGAGGGAGGAAGACTTGATGGGGTCCCAACGGGTTTAGGATAAGTGAATGTGCCTCAAGGCGTGATGAGGTAGGAGGCGGTGATCTTGCCGTCCCTGTCCCCATCCACGCCCACAAACAATACCTTATATCCCACCATTCCCAAGGCGCAAAAGGGGAGAGGAAGGTAGGCACTCACCAATGGGAACTTGTGAAGCCATGAGCACTTTCCTCGCCTCCTTGCCCGTGATCTTCCCATCCCTGTCCCCATCCACGCCCACAAACACCTGCGCATACCGCTGTGCCTCCGCCACCCCCATTCTCGGCCATGGCTGGGGATCCCCCGGGACCATCAGAAACCCCTCTCCTTCCTGCCCCTGCGCGCCCCCTGCTGCTGCGCCCGCCCCTTGCCCTGCTGCCCCTGCTGCTGCCCCTGCTCCCGCGCCTGCTGTTCCTTCTGCTGCTTGCCCCCCACCTGCTGTTACCACAGCGGAAGACACAGCAGCTGGAGGCACTACAGCCACGTCTTTCATCACAAAAGCATCCAGTGCTGCTGCTGCTGCTGCGTCTGCGGATTTGGGTAGAGTGGAGGTGGGCGGAGCAGGACGGGAGGCGGATTGCTGGGGAGGAGGGGGTTGAGAGGAGGCGGAGAAAGCGGAAGGTCCAAAAGCTGAAGGTCCTGCTGTTCCCATCACCCCTCCCATCCCTCCCATCGCTGCCTGCTGCTGCTGCATCTGCTGCTGTCGCTGCATCTGCTGCTGCTGTTGCATCTGCTGCTGCTGTTGCATTTGCTGCTGCTGTTGCGTCTGTTGCTGCTGTTGCATTTTCTGCTGCTGCTGCTGCATCTGCTGCTGCTGCTGTTGCATTTGCTGCTGTCGCTGCATCATCTGCTGCTGGTATTGCTGCTGCTGCTGCTGCTGGAATTGCTGCTGTGCAGCAGGCGTCTGGGCGGCAGCAGCACCTGTGGCAACACTTTGGGCGGCAGCAGCACCCTTGGCGCCACTCTGGGTCTGGGCGGCACTCTTCTTGCCTCCAAGCACTCCAAAATCCGCAAACGGATCCTTCTCTGCTGCAGGCTTCGCAGTAGCAGGCTGCCAGGAAGGCCCGGATGCAGGCTGACCTGGCATCGGCCCAGGCTGACCTGGCATTTGGCCGGGCTGACCTGGCATGGGGCCAGGCTGACCTGGCATCGGGCCAGGCTGACCTGGCATAGGAGCACCTGCTGGCTGACCACGGCCGTATGCGGGTCCAAGAGGCCCTGGTTGCAAGCCCCCGGGTGTGCCACTCTGCATGGTCCCCGGCGCACCAGACGCACCAGATTGCTGCATGGTGCCTGGCGCACCAGTCTGCATGTTCCCCTGCATACCCTGCACGTACTGCTGCTGCTGCGGCTGAAACTGCTGCTGCCCGTACTGCTGCTGCGGGTACTGTTGCTGCTGCTGCTGCTGCTGCTGTGAATACTGTTGCTGCGGCTGTTGCATGCCTGGTCGAGGTCCCATTCCCCCCATCATTCCGCCTGGGCCCGGCCCCATGCCTCCCATGCCTCCCATACCCCCCATCATCCCCCCCACAGGGCCCATCCCAGCCATACCAGCCACCCCCTGTGGCATCGGCGCGCCTTGGACTGGCATTCCCCTTCCATACGCGCCCTGCAGGACGTGGTACAGCAAACAAAGAGAGGGAGAGACGAAGGAAAGAGATAAACAGTCACAAATCATCATGCCTCCTATGAGGCTCATCCCAGCCATCCCAGGCATCACCTGTGACATTGTTGTACCTTGGATTGGCATTCTCTTTTGATACACCCCCTGACCGTTGGTAGAACAGACGAAGGAAGGGACAGTCGATTTTGCAGAGTCAGTTTTGCAGTTTCAACAATAAAATACTCCTGATGATAAGAAGCTGAAGTAAAGTAACCAACACGCAAACTTTGCGTGGACTTTCGAGTCGGACTTACCTCTGAAGTTCTCTCGGACTCACCAATACTGGTGGTGGTGCTCCCGGTGCTCTAAACGGACCTTTGTTAAGTCGTTCTGACCTCTTCTGTTCTCTCGGAATTACTTTTGAGGCGCCTCAAAAGGTGCTCTAAATGGACCTTTGTCGAGTCGTTCTTACCTCTTCTATTCTCTCAGAATTACCTGCTGCACTGGTGGTGCTCCCGGTGCTCCAGGTCCGGGAGCGCCCGAACCGACCGGACCTGGCGGCCCGCCTGGTCTGGCAGCAGCTCCGGGCCTCGGAGGCACGGTAATCCTAGGTGCGGGGATCTGGGCCACTGCCGGGCCTGAGAAGGTGGCTCGGGCGACGTCTGGGTTGATGTCGCGACCGGATTGGGCAACGGTGATGAGGCGAAGGGCGTGGAAGAACTCTGGGCGGTGGAGGAACCCCGCTTGGCGCGAGTCCGCATACTGCCAGACCTGTGGGGCGAAGGGACGAAGAAGCAAGAAAGTTAGATTTTTTTTTTTTGAGCCTCAAAAGGCATACTGCCAGACCTGCAAAGGGATGGAGTAACAAGAAAGTTTGAAATTCTACCAGGCCAATGATTCATCCAGCACACGCCATAAAATGCAACAAAAACACACAATTTTAGAGGACTACGTGGGCAATAAGAGAGGAGAACATGTCGAGTGGTCGCAACAATCACAGGAACCTGAGAGGTTGTTTAAAAGTCTGATAGAAAATCGTAGCAAGTCCATGAAAAGAGGTTGTTTCAATAATGCCAAAGGTGTCTCCTGACAATCTGATAAAAATCAAGACATGCCGAGGCATGGCATCCACAGGCCAACAGGTATGGGAGAAGATACGTGCCTTTGCGAGGGTCATGTGAGGGAGGCCGCACCCTTAAACGAAGGTTACGGCTTAAAAGCCTTACAAACAGGTTCAACAGCAGCTGATACGTGCCTTGGCGAGGGTCATCTGGGGGAGGCCGCATCCCTGAAAGAAGGCGACGGCTTCAGCGCCACTGATCCGGCCGTCCCTGTCCGCGTCTGCCGCTTGGAAGTAGTGCTCGAAGGCGTCCATGCTGGGCTGCATGATGATTGTTGCTGCTCCGCACTGTTGTTACTCCTGGGGGAAGTGGGAAACGTAATATGCAGAAGTAAGAAAACATGAACAAGGATTCCCGCTCATCCGGTTGTCCCTGTCCGCATCGGCCGCTTGGAAGTAGTGCACGAAGGCATCCATGCTCGGCTGCATGATGACCGTTGCTTGCTGCTCCGTACCGCTATTCCCTGGGGGAAGTGAGAGAGAAGGGACAAATCATGCGGACGTAAGGAGAATTAGGTCCCGCTGATCCGGCTGTTCCTGTCCGCATCGGCCGCTTGGAAGTAGTGCTCGAAGGCATCCATGCCGCCGGGAGCCGCGTGCGGCTGCATGATGATGACTGGCGCGTTGCGATGAACACGATTGCTGCGTAACGCGCTATTTCTCCGCAATGCTATTCCTCCGTACGGCTATTCCTGCGTGATGTAAGAAAAAGAAACACGAACAGGGTAAGGTTCCTGGCGTTTTCGATTGAAAGGCCGCAGCTTACAGAGCCAGGCGAGCGGAAATGATCGCGATACGGTGAGCTGGAAAGTAGTCCCAAGAAAAAGAGAAGCAGAAACGAGAGTACTATGAGATGCAGAAAGGATAGGATGGATAAAATGAAACACAAACGATAACATGAATTTCTCAAGAAGTAGTAGGGTAGTCAGACGCTAACAAGTAGTCGAATGGCCACGTGAAAGTAGAGTTGTTTTGAGACGTCTCAAACCATGTAAGCTGGCACGTCGAAACCTAGAAAGAAGGACATGAATTTCTCGAGAAATCACAGAGGTATTCAGACTCCAGTGAGTAGTCGAATGGCCTGATCCCCTTTCGACAAAAAACACGTTGCACATTGATCGAGTTCTAAAAACATTTGGCACGCGAGGAGCTCCCATGAACATCTATGGATAAACAAATTGACATAGACTCTGAAAGAACGGACATGCCTGCAGCAATACCTCGCGACGCGGGCTCTGCAACTCTGTCACCGTCCTGGATGACGTAAGTGGAGTACTGATTAGAGCTAAGCATAGATAAGAGAAATCGGGATTCTCCGTACCTCGGCAAGTCCTAGGATGACTGTTCTGCCGACCACATCCCAAAGAGCAGCAGACCAGAGCCTGCAAAATCCAGATCAGGGGAGAAATAAATGGCAAAAAACTATCAGTAATAAATGGCGGAAGCACAAGCTTGCATTGTGTCGTTTACGTTACGTCCTTTACCGAGGATGGCTGAAGTGTCTATCGTAGAACTTTGTCACATGCCCGAGTTGGATGCAGTCTGGTTGTGACTGGACGAGAGCAAACAAATTCGCACATAACGCTGCCCGTTTCTAGAGCGTTACACTGCAACAGTGGTACTAACGAATCTGCCCGTAAAGGGCTACTTTTACCGAAATTCCGAGAATGTGGCCAATCCCTGACTAGGCCACCGCCAACACACATCCCTTTCGTTCACTTCAAGAAAGAGATGCGAAGCGATTAGGCAGAAATCAAAGAGTTTTCCGGGTTAATGTGCGGTCTCACAAGGTTCTGCGGGATGACAGGACACCTGTCCAGAACCACTTCAGTTGAGGCATCCTCCAAGTGCAACAAGACCAATGATTCTCCCAAGTCTCGAGGATTCTCAGAGAGGACAGTGGAGCCAACATCAAGGCAGAACTAACATCAAGGCAGAGCCAACTTCAAGGCAGAACCAAGGTAGAGCCAACTTTAAGGTCATTGATGAGAGGAAGCAAGACGACTGATAGAGTTGAAGATTTCGCCAAATTTTCCAGCTTTTCTTCCTCCATTATTTCAGACTCTTGGTCCTTTGCTTTCAGGTTCAGCAAGGTTCAACTCCGTATTGACGAACTATCGGCTGGATACGTCTCCATTCTCTGCATAATCGTTACTCTTTTCAACATTTCGTCGGCTTCACCGTTTTATTTTTAGCGGGACCTCAGACATTGACGCGACCTCTGCAGATTCAGCAATCTGTAATAATTTCAAAGGGTGGATGTAATCGTAAATTACCCTAGGAACAATCACCGCATTGCAATTATGTGGTCAGTGACTGGCCTTCGCAGCAGCACAAGCACCGCTCCCAGCCTTAGTGATGATCCCGAGGCTCCAACACCCACAACAGCTCCCGCGGAAACCAAATCCGGGTGGTTCTCTCGCTCGCGCGGAAGCTCTAGCGCGTCATCCGCGCAAGATTCCACGCGCATTCGCCAGAGGCGGTCGGGTCGAAAAGTGCGAGGGTTCGGCCGTATGGGGTCGGGCATGGAGGATGAAGAAGAGGAGGGAGATGAAGAGGAGGATGCGGAGACAATGGGGGAGATTGTGGGGGAGGACTCGGCGGGTGAGAATGGTAATGCTATATCGAGGACAAACGACGACTCTTCGTCACCAAATTCAGGAACAGCAGCAGGAGCAGGAGCAGAACCAGGAGAAGAAATCGATGTAACAAAAGCAGCAGCAGTAGCAGTAGCAGCAGCAACAGAGTCAGCGACACATGCAAGCACGAAAGCAAAGGGTCCACTGGAATCTGAATCCGCAGTCGGGTTGGAATCTCCCACGGCGACCGAGACAGACCGACTGAAACGACGAGCAGCGACGACGCGACTGAAACGCCTGACGACGACGGGCGGAAGGCGATTCTTGGGTCGACTCAAGAAACGACTGAGAGCCCTGACGACGGGCGGAAAGCGAAGACCGGCAGATCAAGTAGCAAGTCGAACCTGGTTGGGGGGTTGTTTGGCGTCTTTAGGAGGGATTCAGGGACTAAGTCCCAGAAGGCCTCTGGTGACGGGAGGTTCTTCAAGAGCAAGAGCACGGGTGGGGCTCTTGGTGGGGGAACCAAGCGAGAGAAGGGAGAAAAGGGAGATGAGGGAGACGAGGGGGTAAAGGGAGAGGAGGGACAGGAGGGAGAGAGGCGTGAGGAGGGAGAGGAGAATGAGGAGGAGGAGGAAGAACTAGAAAAAGTGGCTCTTGCAGGGAGGAGGCGAAGCACAGATGCCGAGCGAGGCAAGGGAGTGGCTTCTGGTGTGGTAGAGAGAGAAGAGAAGGGGACAGAGAGCGCTGGGAGCGCGTCAGGTTCGGAACTTGGCTCGGTTTCAGGCTCGGCGTCAGGTTCGGCGTCAGGTTCGGGGCTGGCTTCGGCGGATGGAGCAGCACATGGAAGGGATGATTCGGAGGGCGAGTCCCAACCTGCCCCGCGGAAGGTAAGAAAGACTAGGGTTTGTATTACGAGTGGAATGGAAGCAATAGTGCAAGTTTTGAGTGCAAGCAGAGTGGAAGTACGAGTCAAGAACAAATGTGCATACGCCACGTTCACAATACTGCCATGTGACTCCATATTTGTGATGGTGACCTCAAGTGTTACACCGCCTGGCTTGCTGTGGCTCGAAACCCTTGACTTCTGAGGCGCCTCGAAAATGCACCACCTTGCTTCCTGTGTGACTTGCATTGCAACCTTCAATTCCTCTGCATGATGCAAAGATATCGGCTGCAATGTCCTTCCACTGTTGCTGTCTTGCATGGCAGAGGGAGACCCTGTGGGGATTCATCAGAAGGACGTCCAGCACTGTAGCAGGTGAGGCATCTTATGGGAAAGGTTCAGGTCTAATGCCTCTCAATATCAGATATGAGGCGAAGCATATGGCGTAGCGTATTGGAAATGTGGGCGATATGAGTCAAGAATATGAGGAGGATGAGGCAGTTTTGCGCTTCGGCATATGAAACACGTGCAGCCTCTTGGTATTTAGCACATGAGTCTAATCAGTATTCGATCATCTTCATCGATTCTATTCCACATTGATCAGTTGACTCCCTCTCTCTTCATGCTTGTGACTTGCTCCATTCCACTTCTCTCCCTCCCCTTCACTTCAGCGCCCAAGGCAGAAGCGCACCAGCCAATCATCTCCTCCTCCAGTCCGCCCCATGATCCCCCTCTTACCCTTGACGCCTCTCACACTCTTTCTGCCCATCTCTCCTTTTTTTCCCATTCCCCTTCTCTCCCTCCTTCCCCCCCCCAGCGCCCAAGGCAGACGCGCACCAGCCAATCATCTCCTCCTCCAGTCCGCCTCACGATCCCTCTGACACCCTTGACGCCTCTCAAACCCTCCCTTCCCGTTCCCCCCTGCATTCCCGTTTCGCCCTCCATCCTTTTTTGCCCATCCAGCGCCCAAGGCAGAAGCGCACCAGCCAATCATCTCCTCCTCCAGTCCGCCCCATGATCCCCCCGACACCCTTGACACCGTCTCACCATCCTTCCCTGGGGAAGAAGGCCGCACTGAGGATTTTCCGGGCAGTTCTGGTGCTCGTGCTACACTCGGGCAGGACGGGCGTGAGGAAAAGGAGGAGACAGGGGAGAAGGATGGGCAGCAGGAGGGGAAGAAGGGCGGAGGAGAACGCGAGAGTGAAACGGATGGTTTGGCCGTAGGGAAGGGGCCTTATCAGGGGGAAAATTCGGGGGAGGATAAGGAGGAGAATGAAGGAAGGGATAAGGGCAAGGAGGAGGGGGAGAGTGAGGGCAAGGGTCATGAGGAGGAGGGAGAGGGTGCAGGAGGGAAAGCCAAGGGGAGTGGAGGGGGGAGTGGAGGAGGGGCAAAAGGAGGGAAAGGAACAGGGTTGCTGGGAGGTGGGAGTGTGATTCTGAACGTGGGCTCAGTTCCTAGAAAGCTGTTCTCCTTCATGCCACGATCTTCTTATGCTAAGCTTAAGGTGAGCGGTGAAGAGGGGTGGAGCTCGGTTGAGCATGGTCAGGAGTGGGTGTAGTGGGGTAGTGACGTTTCATGGCTTACCAGGGCGTAAGCACTCCTTTCTTCTTTCAGTAGGAGATCATATCGTGGCTCTTCCTGTTTTAGTAAGCCTTTCTTCGTCTCTCTCCCCTCTCTCTCACTGGTTGGGAGCACTGCAGACCTGATCCACGACCCCTGTCGAAACTGCCTAAAGCTTTGATGCTCTTGAATCTTTCCCTTTCCTTTTTTCTATCCCCTCGCCCTCACCAGT